AAAGTCCCGATCGCGTCATACGGATCTAGATTTCTACCCATTAAACATTCTATAAATGCTTTAGAATAGTTTAATTTGTTTACTTACCTTCGCTCGTAAACCTCGATTTTAATTAATTAAATATGTCCGCATTTTTTCAACAAATTTCCCGTGAGTCGATGCGCCACGTTCTCCGAGTCGCGGGATGTGGTAAACGTGCGGCGCGAGGTTAATCGAGGCTTATAATAATTATTTATACCATTCCGTGGTATAAATAATAAATTCCTATTACAAATAAAAATAATTTATTGTTAATTTAAAATCATCGCTAGGGCGCCTCTAGTGCCCGCTATTGTCATACCGTTACGCGGACGGACGGACGCGCGTTCAATAGATTATATAGATAGATACTAGCTGCAAGTACTGGCTTGGCTGGGTTTTTATTTGTTCGTACATTTATATGTAATGTAGTTTTTTCTTTATATAAAAGACTCTACGTAATCTTTGTGTGATTCGATGCGTTTTCCTATAATTTTCAAGTTGCTCTTCTGTCTGATTATTTCTGTTTCGCTGATAATTTTCTCGTAGCAATGTTATACGTACTTTCTTCCGCGGTTTCATTTCGCCGCGCCATCTTTTGCCTTTCAGATATGATTCGAGACCGCAAAAATTCTTTCTTACGCTTTGGCATTATTTTTTATATTTTTACTTTTCACACTTCACTATTCACTTTTCACTTTCTACTTTTTTCTGTTATTCGTACACTTTTACTTATGAAAAATCAACCGAGGAATGTGCGTCACACGTCTCCAAAAGCCATTCCCACTACAGTACTCGCACATAACAATCCTCGACTATTTCAAAACATTTTCGACTATTCGACAACATTTAAGATTAAGATTAAAATTACATTATAGCAAATCTTACCCGTTTTCACAGAATGCAAGAATTAGGTGCCCCGTTTCCAGACTAATTAGAGAATTTTTACGAGTCTAAGAATATGTTCGATTTCCCACAAAAATGCAAAAAAACGCATCTGCGCTTGTAAATCTCGCACGCCGCTTTATCTTAACCCTTCCATTAGGATCTCCCGCACCCTTATAGCTATCGAGACGCAACCACCATAGTGCACGATGCGCTATGTTCACGAGTGCACCGAGTGCACATAGTGCCCTCGGGGCTACTGCCACACACAAACAACATTCACGCGCGATGTGTAGTTTTGGCTGCAGAGTGAAATATAGGCACAACATCATTCGTACGCTATTTTATTTTCAAACGAATTCGTTTTATTAATCCTGTTTGGGAGACAAACGAGTCCCTACTGCCGTAAATTATGTCAACGCGACACTCGGGCGATCTGCCTAGGAGGGATGCCTTCCGGGAGGTCTTTTTAAAGGAAACTGGCCCCTATTTAGACGTTACAGACCTCGAAGACCCTTCGGCCACCGGCCAGCCCGGAGACCCACCGGTGGCCGAGCGGTCTTCTTAGGTCTTATATACGATACCACCGTATTGTATATAAAAATGTTTTACGTTTTACGTAATTCGTCGAGATTGTCTGTCAATATGTACAATTTTTCGCGCGATTGTCTTAAGGATTTGATACTTAAGAAAGATTTGAGTTTTTACTTGGTTGGCGATTCTTTGTAGTAACCTACAAAGAATTACTACAAGGAACTAAACGAGCGTGGTAAAATCGACGATTTTGAGACGATGGAACTTCTATTCTGACTTCATTCTAAAATAATTGTTAGACGCGCGTTGTAATATCGTCGTAAGTTTGTATGTCGATTTTTCCGAAGCGACGATAAGACGCAGAAAGTAATTTCTATCTCTTCCGAATTTCTTAATAAATTCAACTTTCCAAGAGTTATCGTCTCCCGTACTCCTTACGTGACGAGAATTGGAAAATAGATTCGTCTAGAGTGTTAACTCCGCCCGAAAAGTTATATTTCGAAGACGAATAAATTCGCGTCCTAGTTTATCGCGGTCTTCTTATTGGATTTTTAACTGCCCCGGGTAACCCGGATGCGCCGTATTCCGTTCTGGCGTCGCTTAACTTTGTCCGCACTTTTTTAACTTACTCCCTCCGTTACAAAATTTTCACCCACTTTGCGTACGTACGTATTGGCGGTAACGATGCATTTTTTATTTTCCTGGCTATTATATATAACGGACGAAAAGTATGGCAATCGGTCAAAAACGATTAGCGATTAGCAAAAAAAGTAAAATTCGGAAAAAGTTCGATAACGAATGGCGATACGCGTATTAAGCTACGCGTAGCGTCGATCGCGCCAAGTTTTCCGACGTACGGCATCGTCGTACCGTATATCGTAAGGCTGGGTAGAGGCGAGTAAGCGTTATAACGTCATTAGAGGTCTATAAACACGAGGTCGTCCGTACGAACCCGCGTAGAAAGAAGAAGAAGAAACGCGAAGTCGGGACACCAACGTTTCCTACGTGGCCACCATATTGGTACCTTACTTCCGCGGTCACGGTACGGATTTCGTACTCTGTACGTAAGGTAAACTGCGCGTTCCTCGGAGTTCGAGACGCGGAATTCCTTTTATAATTTCAAATAGAGTATCTTTTCATTTAGAGGTTACTCCGACATATAATTAAAGGCTTTAACTAAATAAATTTCGAAATAAAAAGCTATTGGCCCGTATGATACGGAACAAGGATATTTAGTTTCCAAATGTAAAATTAGAGAAGAAATTTGTAGATATTTGTTAAAATAAGAATATATTTAGTTTTTTACATTGGCAAACGGGAGCTCGGATTAAACATTTCTACAAATTAAAGTTAGAGGAAGAGGGGAAAGAAAAGTACTCTTACGCGCTTCATATATTACGTAAAGTAAATGTGTTTGCAAGAAATAATAAGAGAGTTGCTAAATGAAGTTACGCGTATAAAATAAATTTAGTTATTTTATAGACGATTAAATAACTACAATTATAAAGATGTATTGGACAGTAGACAATGGCAATAGAAATATGGACTCGGACTTTATTTATTCCGTTAGTTTTCCGTAGTCTTCTCACACAGCACGAATCTTCACAAAAATTAATAATAATTTAATTAATATAAATGAGTTTAAATGTAATTAATTGATGAATATCTCTTACGATAATATTATGCGCTTCCTGTTATAAATATATTTTTTAAATCTGAAAAAACAATGTTTAATGTCCTAAAAACATTCGTTTAAGAAAAAGCTGCTAAAATGTAAGCGGATGGCGTTTTTTCTTAATGTACGTAAGGAAGTCGAGCGCATTATCGAACAATAAAATGTCACCAGGAGACAAAAAAATCTTTAAGGCGGCATTTCTTCATTTATTTACCACGAAAACTTATTACTACCGAATTCCAATAAATCTGGTTCCTCCGTATATAACATTACGCCTTTGGCCGACGAATTTTTACAATTCGCTGCGAAACCTTTTTTTAAAAATAGGCAACGGAAATTCCGCTACTCGAGATGGAAAATAACAAATAACCAAATTGGCTGTAGAAACACCGCAAAAGGCCCAATATGGCGGTATCGTGTCCTAACCTGGCGTTTATGGACTCGGCCTCGTCCGTCACAACTAGCGCCGCGCGTCTAACTTCCGTGGCTAATTTCACCACCCGATTTTAAAGATTTCGGAATTGTTTGCTCTTCGGAAAATGGTCCGAATCTAAACGCCGGTCCGTGGCTTTTCCCCTTAACCCGGAAAGTTCCGTTTCCGCTCTTGGAAACTTTTCTACGTCGGGACGTGGCGGAAAACGGTTAGGATTCCGTCATCCGGACCGGGCGGAAGGACGGCCGACGTCCTTCGCCTCAAATCGCGGCTGGTTGGGTTTACGAGACTTCCACGCCCGGACTAACCGGGAAACGGGCGATAAAGCCACCGGATTCTGCGCCTTCCTTACCCGGATAATACGCCGACGGGTTCGAATCTCGGGCGGGAAACTGATTACGACGCCAAATACTTTTCTAATTTCCACCGAGAAAATTAGGATTTTGTTATCGTAACATTTGTTTGTCGCTTTGCGCTTTAAATATTTTATATTGGAGGCAGTCGGACGTTTTAAATATAGTATTTCCGGGTAGCGATAACCACCCCCGGCCGAGCGGAATTACCCGAGTTGCGACGCCACCCTGCCGACCTAGCGCCGAGGTTTTCGTCGTTATGGCGATAATCGACCCGCGGGCGCGGCCGGGCCAATTACTGCAGATTAGACGAGAGAGGGACTTTGGCCTTCCCGGTGGAAAGAAAAATCCCGGACATTTTTTACGGCGCGGCAAACGAGTCAAAAATAAAAAGTTGCCGTTGCCGGGACGGCTAGGACCACCCTGACCGCGGTAAAAGTCCGAAAGGGATTTCGGCATCGAAACGCCTCCGCTCGGCTGGGCTGCCGTTTTTATGGCGGAAATCGCCCGCGCTCTCGGTGGCCAAAGGCGCTTTACCGCCAATTATCGGGGGGTTATAGACTACCGCCGTACGATATCGAACTCGGCCTAATAGGAGGGACGGTCCGCGGCCGGTCCCCGATAAACTTCCTCCCCAACGACTTTGGATTTATTACGGGCCGGTCCGGCAAAAACGGCGCGTCCGTCGGATTTCCCTTCCCTAATTATTATTCTTCCGGTTTAAGCTCCGCCCGGAAGTCGGAGACGAACGGGTTTCCGTCTCCGGGCGTCCCTCCCGCGCCGACCAGACGAGAGGAATTGCAAATTGAGGGGACGAGCGCGTGCTCGGGCGTAAATTGGCCTCGGCCGTTCTCGTTCTTTCCCCCTCTACCCGAGACGGAAACGGAACGACGTCGATAGATCGAAGGTCGGAATACGCGTGCCGTTCGAACGCCTTTCCGCCTCTTATCGGCTTTATTAGTCTCCCGACCGCCGATAAACAGTTGTTAATCGTCGCTCGACTTTCGTCCCGACTGCCGGCCCCGGAAAATGGAGGCGGCAAAAACGGTAAGAGAGCGGCGCCCCACTCTTTCCCGCGGAAATAAGCCGGAAGTGACGGCGGACCTTCTTTCAGGACAAATCCCGGGGACTGGACAATCTCGGTTACGTATCGGACCCGACGGACAGAGGGAAGACGCCGGAAGAGGAGACCGTCTCGGTGGTCTCTCGAGGAAACTGGGCCAACAAGTGGGAGTTCCTGCTGTCCTGCATAGGGTTGTCCGTCGGAATCGGAAACGTCTGGCGATTTCCCTATCTGGCCTACGAAAACGGTGGAGGCGAGTTTAAGTTTTAGTCTGCCTTCAGCCGGCTTTTTTTCCTCCTAATTTCCCCCACTGTTTCAGGAGCCTTTCTCGTCCCCTATTTGATCATGCTGCTGCTGGCGGGAAAACCCATGTACTTCTTGGAACTGGCCTTCGGACAGTACTCGGGAAAGAGTTGCCTGACCGTCTGGTCTTCCGTCCCTCTGGCCAAAGGTGAGTAGCGGCGCCCGCTTCCCCGGGACGGAAACCTACCATTAAAGTGTGGTTACCCGTCGTAGGCGTGGGTTTCGGCATGATGTCCGTCTGTCTGATCATCGTCATCTATTACAACGTCGTCATGGCCTACACCGTATTCTACATCGCTTCCACCTTCCAATCGGTCCTACCCTGGAGCACCTGCGACGCCGAATGGGCCGTCAACACCTCCTGCACGCTTCGATCCGAAAGGGTGAGTCGGAGTCTCTTTCCTTCTTTTCTGTCGTTAAATGTCGGGAGGGACGACCCGCCGACCGTTTACGGAAGTGCTAAAAGGGGTGGTAAGGGGTGGAAAAGAGCAAATCCTTTCGCCTCGGGGGCTTTTCCGATTGTCGATCCGCAGTCCGGTTGGAAAACGCCGGGATTCCGATTCCGTTTCCGTCCGGATTCCCGTCACTCGGGGAACCATTCCGGTCCGTCGACGGAAATTCGTCGCTTCCGGCGGTGGTTAACGCGACGAATTCGATTACTCTCGTCCCAGTCGAACGGACCGTCCGATAATCCCTAAAAGTCTTTCCCGCAAGACTGCGTGCGGGTCCCGAGTGGAACTCGGCAGGCTCTCGGACGGGAGGGAGGCGAGCGACCGCGATAACAGTCCGGATGGGAAGATTTACGAGCCGCGGGTAACGGGCGCCTCGTAAAAACTCTCGTAAATCAATCCTATCCGCCGTTTACGTCTTTCTAATTATAACGAACAAGATTTGTCCCGAGCGCGGCACAAAAACCCGTCGTCCCCCGGCCTAGGTTAGTCGTTTGTAATTTTGCCAAATTTTTGTTTTGCAGACGAACCGCACGGGAGAAAGAAAATCGCCGAGTCAAGTGTATTGGGAGTAAGGCCCGTTTAGTGTGGTAGGAAAATCGCGCGGTTCTGGAAACGGAAAAGTAATCGGCCGCACGCTTTCAGGAGGTACGTCTTGGACACCACCGACGGTCTGTGGGAGACGGGAGGAATCAAATGGGACCTATGCCTGTGCCTGCTGCTGGGGTGGACGGTGGTGGCCGCCTGTCTGCTGAAGGGGATCAAGTCTTCCGGAAAAGTGGGTGAGCCCTCCTCCGTCTCGAGCCCGTCTCCGACGGGTTGACCCTCCTTCCGTCTTTTTTCAGGTGGTGTACTTCGCCGCCACTTTTCCCTACCTGGTGTTGGCGGTGCTGTTGGTCTGCGGTCTGATGCAGGAGGGAGCCGCGGAGGGAGTGGCCTTCTTCGTCACCCCGGAATGGAGCAAGCTGAGACGCATCGAAGTAGGTCCCGCTCTCGATGTTTACTTTTGGTTTGCCCGACCGCCGTACAAACTTTTTTCTTCCGGAAGGTGTGGCAGGCGGCGGCCGGACAGATGTTCTTCTCGCTGAGCATTTCCATGGGCGCTCTCATCTCCTACAGCAGTTACAACGACTACAGGAACAACATTTACAGGCCGGTGGCCTTTCCCCTCTTCTTCGCTTTCTCCAGCCAAACCCTATATAACGAATTTTCCTTGTTTCTTTGACAATTAAAATCTAGATGGGTTTCGGTGGTCGGCTTTTAATATCCCGAGTAACACTTTCGGTAACGTGGTGGGGGAAAAGGCGTTTTTATTTAGTGGTGTTTAGACGCTAGAAAAATAGAGATTTAATTGCCAGTCGAAAGTAGAAAGAAAGGTTTGGAAGAAGCATAATTTTACAGGAAGTGGTCACCGGATTTTGTTTCCGCCTCGACCGAGATACCTTAGTACATTTATCGCATCGCCCCGCAAAATCTACAATATTTTGCTCGTTTCTCGGCGCCCGAACACCGCGGAGTTTCCATTTGTTTCTCGCAAAAGGACGAAAGCCATTCTGCTGGGTTCCGGCCATTTTTTCGCTTTCGGCCACCGATTATAAACCGAGCGAGAAAAGACTTCGGTCGAGCCGAAGGAAGCCGGACGGTTTTCCTTCTCCGCGCCGGAAATGCGTAGCGGGCCACCAGTCGCGAGTCTACGAACGGAAGAAGAGGGCCCCGGGCGATTATTTGCGGAACGTAGTCTAATTCACGTCGCGGTTCGTTCCGTATAAATAGCTCCTCTCAAAGGTACTCGGAGGAACCGACTTTTTCTCCGTGGCTCTTTAGGCAGGATCCGTTAGAAAGCCGACGTCGGAGCGAAATCCGTCGACGTTTACTCGGAACGGCGTCACGTATCTTTTTGAACGGTTGCAGGGACGCTTTGGTGGTCAGCGTGCTCGACACCGTCACCAGCGTGGTGGCCGGACTGGTCATCTTCTCCGTCCTGGGAGCCATGGCCCACGATCTGGGAGTCGACGTGTCCGAAGTAGTGGCCAGCGGTACGTATCTCCCGCCCGCCGCCCTCCGCCGGTCCCGCGGGTGGCGGCGGGAAGTGACTCTAACCCGAATTTACCCGCCAGGACCCGGACTGGCCTTCGTGGCCTATCCGGAAGCGCTGACTCCTCTTCCCGTGCCCCAACTCTGGTCCTTCCTCTTCTTCTTCATGCTCTTCGTCCTGGGATTGGACAGCGAGGTGAGTCTCTTCCGTCTTCCGGTGGAAATCCCCTTCCCGAAATTCTAACCGCTCCGGCCCCGTTTCAGTTCGCCTTGCTAGAAAATATATTGACCAGCCTGGCCGACCGATTCGTCGTCCTCAGGAAACACAAAACGCTCTTCTGCCTGGTCACCAGCTGCTGCTGCTTCCTTCTGGGACTTCCCTGCGTCACTCGCGTGAGTAGTCTTCCGTATTCTTTGTTTCCCACCGTCCCCGGCTGAAAGACCGTCTTCCGTGGTAGGGAGGTCAGTACGTTCTGACGCTGATGGACAGGTACGGAGGAGGAACCGCGGTGGTATTCGTGGCCGTGTGCGAAAGTATAGCGATGGGATGGATCTACGGTAAGAGTTGCGTCATCCCCGGCGCGGCGAAAAGTCTTCTCTAACGTCTTTTTCCGGTTACAGGTAGCGGACGCTTCTGCCGAGACGTAGAAAGGATGCTGGGCACCAGACCCGGTTGGTACTGGAAGATCACCTGGACGGTTTCCGCTCCCGTCGTCCTGACCGTAAGTCGTCGTTTCGGAGGTCGTTCTCGTGCCAGGACTCTCTCGACTTTGTTTTTTTTTTTTTCTTTTTCAGTTCGTCTTCGCCTATTCTCTGATAGAACACGCGCCCATCCATTTAGAGGACCCCAGGTTTCCGTCCTGGGCCAACGTCTTGGGCTGGAGTCTGGCCGGCCTGGCCATGATCCAGATTCCCCTGTGGGCCGCGGTGACCGTCGCCCGGCAGAAGACTTCCGGTTTCCTGCAGGTGAGTGGCTTTTCTCCCCTTCCGGTCCGGTCGGACTTCTTTTGATTCCGGTTCTCTCGTCGGCAGAAACTGAAAGAGGCCGCGAAACCCACGCCGGAATGGGGCCCCAACGACCCCGCTCTGAAACGGGAGGAGAAAACCCAGTCGGAGGACGGCAAAATATATTCCGTTCGCCTGTGACGTTGGCGGGCCTCCCCAGGACGGACGACGCCTTTCCTGTTTATAATCCGGATAATTTCAGAATCGTCGACCATCCGACGGAGTACGAACGACCGAAAGAGCCGTCCCCGTCGTTTCCGAAAAGGCTTTAAGACACGGGAGAGAAACCGCCGTCCGAATGGCAATAACGGTTACCACGGGAGCGCGGAAGAAGTGGCCGCCAAACCGTTCTCGTCCGTCCTCTTACCAACGACGACCGATAAACGTATACGTAGTGTCTGTCTTTCTTTTAAATATTTTTACCTAATAGGCTTTCTCCAATAAATCTGGAATTATCGGCAGTCTGGTTTCCTTCGGTCGCTATCGGAAATCGCGCAGGGTCGGGACACCCTGGTTCCTCGCGGAGTCGCCATTTTGGTTCCTTAGTTCCGCAGTCAATAAATAGAATTCGTGCTCGGTAGGCGAAGTAAACTGCGGGTTTTTTCGAGTTGGAGCCACCAAATTCCTTTTATAATTGCAAATAAAGTACGCCTCTTCGTTAGTTAAAGCCTGGACATTTACTTCCAGGCTTTAACTAAATAAATTTCGAAATAAAAAGCCGTATCGATGGTTCGTAGGATGCGATGCGAGGGTAAAAAATTATTAAACGGTAGGCAATACCGACGAATAGCAATATCAACTTGGTCTTTATTTATTGTTATTTTATAACAAAATTAATTATTCGTTTAAAATATGTAATACATTAATTGGGAATAATTTAAATGACTAAAATTTAGAATAAAATAATTGAAATTAAAACTTTCAAAGTACGTTTTCCATCCACAAACGGCATATTATAACTGATTTACCGTTTAATAAGTCGTATTATACAAAAACTTTACTACAAACACGGTCTACAGATTGATACTAATCCAAGAACCACGCTTTAATCTTCTAATTACAAACGCTATCGAACAATTGAAAAACACTCGTTTGGTCAAAACATAGAGAATACGGTACAAAAACACTACATTCCATTTCTGAATGGAAAAAGTGAACCATGCTAGCCATTACGGTACAAAGACATTTACCAGATTCTTTACAATTTTTGTGCGGATTTTGGGCATTACGGTACTGCCAGTGGCTAGACTTTACTTACAAACCACCGACAAAACACATCGTCCGTTGTTTTACTGGGCAGATTATTACCGTTTACGGAAAAGCTTTACCCACAAATTTAATATTTGCCAAATATAATTTAAAACAAAGGGCTGGCATATTTACAAATATACATATTTATTTATAATAATTTACAATTTGTATCAGCAGCAATTTTCTCCCGCCCCCTCTTTTAAATCGCGATTTCTCAAAGTGTGGACCTGTCTAAAGATTCGGTTACTTTACGTTACAAAAGTTATTCCAAACACTCGGTAACGTCCGGCCCGGGATTATCGGTTGTTTTCGCTTATCTCTTCCGCAATATCGAAGCCATTTACCAACCCCGCCGGCTTTGTTCCGTTTTCTCGCTGGCGATCTTACACCTTTTGCCGACGAATTTTTACAATTCGGTGCCGAGTAAAAACAAAAAGAGATAACGAGAAATGCGGCAAATCGAGATGGAAAAAAGACAAGTTCTCTCTACAAACGCCGTACACGATACCGGAAACGAACCGATTAGGCGACCTCCTATAGGGTAATAGATGCGAGGAGAATTACGATTCGTGAGACGAAAATTGGGCGTTTTCCGTGTTTTCGAGTGTCGAATCCGAAGAATTGGATTTTGGCAGTTGTAACGGTTAGGCCACGCCAACCGACCGAGGCATTTCTAGTTATAGCCTACGGCCGAGTTTTGTCCGGGACTAATTTAAGTTATTTAGAAGAAAGGGAAATAATAAAACTCTTCCTTCGACCATCCGCAATTATTTCTCGAGAGTTCGTTTCGTACGTTACGTATTTCAATATTTGTCTGGGATAACCCGATTCCTGGGTCGTGTTACGCGTGACGATTTCCGGCAACAAAACCGCCCAACTACAAATACCGTAGTGAAATTGGTCGGAGACTCCCGTTTGTGGCCGGATAACCGCGCGTTTCCTAAAGTCATTTTGTTTCTTTTTCGCAGTCGATAAACTTCTTAAGCCCATCACCGTTTCCGTCTCAGCAGCGGGAAAAAATGGCACTTTGCAACTCGGTTAACAAGTTTCTTTCCCAACGTATAGTAAAAAGGGCGACATTTTAATTAATAAGACTTTATACACCGGAATTAACTAAACCAAAATGGTAAACGAACCTACACAATTTTTATCGTTATTAAATTTTAAATTAAGTACGGCTCTGTAGCCCGGAGTCGAATACGCATTAAACGACTATCAAATTACGGCTACTACGAAAAGGCCTTCGGACACGGAGACGAGAAGGAACTAGACTGAAATTATACAAATATAACTTTAATATTGGGAATGCGTTTCGGGTAGACAGACCCGTCGTCGTCCCTTTCGGGATTATACGTGTAGCCAGTGCCGGCCCCAGGCAAGTTTTAGGATGGAGCGAGATCCTATTATGGCGCCCCCTGGGTTGCCCCTGATTTATACCCTTTAATTTCTTTACCACCGAGGCGTCCCCTAGGACTTAGCGCCTGGAGCGGCCGCTCCGTTCGCCCTATGGTAGGACCGGCTCTGCGTGTAGCAAACAGTTGACAAAAATAGTTTACGCATCAGTCTATACAATACAATATTTCACATATTTATCGCTACACGTCTAATGTCAAAAGGGCCGACGAGAGTCTTATATACCCGAAACGCATTCCCAATATTAAAGTTATATTTGTATAATTTCAGTCTAGCTCCTCAGTGTGGTTAGCCGTTTTCGGTGTAGTCGTAATTTGATTAATATACATTCAACGAATGGCCTAATTTTAATATTGCCGGAACGAAGCCACGGTTTATACCTCTATTTACGTATGGTCGATTTTTCATTTAGGACCGTCGAGCGGATGTTTCGAAATACTGGCGATGGATAAAAGAAAATGCCGACGAATATAATGGAAAGAATAGGACGGCGGGTTTCCGGTGCCGCCGAATAATCTACCGCGAAATAGGCCTAAACCCTAACCGGAAACCCGCCGTAAGTTAAATTATCGCCAGCGAGAAAGGAATGGAAAAGCAAAACCCGTCGGTCCCGGGCATCCCTACCGGTTACGCGGCGGCACTTAACGGAAATCTTACGGATTACGGACATTTACGATTTTCTAAGACCACGTCTAATTCGAAAATTAAACCTTTGGCTTTATTACGATAATTAATTGTATATAAATTTATTTTTAAATGAAATCTGATAACAGACGGCGCGGCGGGAAAATTTTATTTAAAACAATTACTAGCAGAAATAAATAAGGAAAGAAATGAATAAAAACACGCGTGTTGTAGGTTTAATTTCGTGCCAAGGGGAACGAAGCCCGAAAGAAGGTAACTATCGGCCGAAGGAGTCCGACCCACGGGCGGAAACCGGAAAGTTACGTAACCGGTTGCCGGATTTTTTCCCCTAAACGCCAGTTTACCCGGGAAGCGGACGGGAATAATTTCGAACCCGGGCGACAGTCAGCGGCACGCGTTATTTAGAAATGAAGTAAAGATACGGGAGTAAAAAGCGGCTCGGGCGAAATCGCTTATCTACGAGTCGATAAGGAAAAGAAATGCGTTGGGAGTGAAAACGGACTGGTTTAGTTTTATTCTACCGATAAGATAAAGGATTTAAATAAGGTTAGGTTCGACCGTATCGTTAAATTCGATTTAAAGTGGACTATCTAACACCTTGGGTGGAAAACTTTTAAACGGAAATAACGCGAGAAGTTCGTACGTAGTTAATCGGGTTCTATATCCAGTCTGGTCGACGTAAGTTCGTTTTCGAGATTGAGGAAAGGCGGTGGGAATTTTTGAAAAAATTGTAGACCTTAACTTACTATCGACGAGAAAAATCCTTTATTTGCACCGGTGTCCGGCAGCGGAAAATTGAAGTAGCGGGAGTTTGATGAATTGCGCAAGCTTTTTCTGCGATAAAACACCCGTGCAAACAACGCGGTGGAAATCAAAGGCTTTTAATTTCGCTTTCGATTTTACAGTTCGGAAACGCCCCGGCACTCGACTGGAAAAAGACGGGTTTCGTTCCCTCCACAAATAGAAACGTAGAATCGGAAGCGCTAAATAATAACGGCCGGGAAGATTATTAGTACTTACGAGAATTCGTTAAACGGAACAGAAAACTTTTCTTCCCATCGGCCGACAAAAAAACGTTTCCATTGCGCGGGTCGGTTGGAAAATTTGGCCACCGTCGGCGCGGTCGGTTGGAAAATTTGGCCCGGTGCCGCCGATTCCGTTTTTTCCGTAACGGCGAAGATTTTAAATACAGTAAGACCTCGTTTAGCGCTAAACCGGGTCATTTTAACGTAGAGTAAACGGGGAAAGAAGAACACGCGACCAAAAATAAACAGATTTTACTTTAATTTGCGTAATAACGTGTTACGTAACACGCGAACATATGCGCGCAGAAATGTAAACTTCATTTTTTGTGACGAAGATGCCGAAATTCTTGACTTTTTTGCGTCTAGTGCCATTTGTGGCTTTTGTCGAGAGCTCGTCTGGCTTTTGCACTCCTTTCAAAATCTGGATCATTGGCTACAATTTGATCAAAGATTTCGGTTATGGTTATCGAACCTTTATTAAAGAAATCCGTAACAAGTTCTTCGTTTTCGGAATCACTATTTTCCAGTTCTACACCAATTCCTTGTTCCGCAGTTGTCGAAAGTGGTCGTTGGTAACTCCTCCATACATCTACACCTAGACCCGTTATATCGATTCTCGTCGCTTCCACTCTCCGTTCGTGCATTTATCGGTTAATTCTTGCCTCGATGTTATATTTTTTACAAGACGAACGTAGATTTAGGGCTACGACGAATTGCCACTTTTGCTAATTGGTTCGTCTTCGGGAATAATCGTATTATATATCGGGGGTGCCCAGACTTTTTGCCCTAAGAGTTCTAGTTACCTACCCGAAAATATCGGGAGCCGCATCTAAAGTTCTTGGTATAAAAATATAAAAAAAATTTCAGAATCATAATGTATTTATTTCGACAATTAAAGCCAGCCGTTTTTACATATTATTACATTTTATTTATTTATTCCTCGCTAGTTGAATGTTTACGAATTTGTAATGTCGAAATTAATTTTTGATAATTAGAAATTGAACTTCTTATTAATTCTTTTACATGTTGGTTGGTTAACTGCGAATTTCATCGTCGAGTACAACGATTCGACAGCGTACGTCGGTCCAAAAATTGACAGTAAACGATACGCCGCATTTTTTAAATTA